CCCCAAAACCCCAAAACCCCTAGATTCTAAATTAATTTATCAGAGCCAAACATATTAAATCACTTTAAAAATAAATAACTATTTCTCGAAACATATTTTTAAAAACATCAAGCAATATTATTAGAGTAATATCGATTCTTTTAATCTCACTAGATTGAGGAATTTCTTTTATTCTAAATATATTTTTTATAATCTTTATTATTGATTGTTTGCTTATCCATAAGTAAGCGGTTTAAATCTTCAACTTCTGATAATTGTCTATCATTCTAATATATGGTATCTAAGTAATACTTGTTCTAGTTGCTATTAATTGAAGGCATTAAAGAAATCGGTCTTTAACTTATTCCTAATTTTCCTTATATCTGTTCAATCTATTCCTACATTACCTATTTCTCCATTTGAAGTGTGTTTAATTAAGTCTCGTTATCTTATAATTTTTAAGCCATCTTAAGAAAGTTTTCATAGCTATAGACACTCTAAATGTCCTATTTTTTATTTAAATCACTTTAATTCACCATCTCTGTTTCTAAATATTTTTTCAATTGTCGATTAAAGCAGTGCTAATGAGCAAATCTGATTATTATGATAAGAAAAAGCAAGAGAGACAAATAGCCCCCAACCTGCTAAAGACCTTTACTTAAACTATAAGGAGTTATCTTGATAACATCGACCATATTTTAGCTTCTCTTGAATGTCAACTAAAAACCATTGTTTGTTACATTTTCTCCATAGCTAGTTTATAATACAATCTTAGGATATGTTTCCCATTCATATTCTGGACTAATCTAAGCTATTGAATCTGTACTATTTAACATAAGATAATCAATTTCAAATACTCCAGAGGTTCCACTTTCAAAAGATACTATCTTTTATTCTGCTTTCTCAACTTCGTATTTCTCAGCGTCATAATAGTATTCATTGAAATTTACTTTCATCATTTCAAATATCCTGGCATCTGGAGGCATTAATCTTTAGTCAATTTTGAGGAATTCATCAACATCTATTGAGCAACGAAGGAAAATTTCACTAAATTCAGTATCTTTATACAAATCATTTTGGGCAACTTCAAAATAAAACTAGATTATGAGTGTTTGATAAGTCTTATTGCTTTAATAATGTCTCTCTTTTAAGATATTATTTTGAAATTTAGTACTGATTTTGATTGACCTGTAATCTGGTAAAAAGACAAAGCAATGATAGGAGATAAAATTTGCAAAGCTATCAGCATAGGATTAATTGTAAAAGATTGAATTAGTAGCTATCTGGTACTAGACCAATGCGGATATATTGAGATTGGGAATTATTTCAGATGCAGAAATCTCGCTTATATGATTAACACCATATCTTATCATATTTTATCTCATGTCATATTCTTATCTATTGATTATATCTGCTAGAATTTTAATAGACATTGCAAGGAATATCAGTATCGCGACTATTGTGACAAAAGATGATATTATTGAAGAGAATTCCTATCTTCTTCTAAAATATAATCCTGTTGGATATTTCCCGATCGTGATATGTCAGAAGAATGTCATTATCCTGTTATTACAAGATTTTAAGCATCTATTTGATTCTGTCATTAATTTAGGATTTTTATAAAAAGTAAAGTAATAATATCGAATTAATTTATTTTAACTCTAAATATTTCAAAATCATCTATCAATGGGGTTTTGGGGTTTTGGGG